AACAAACCCAAAGTTTATCTTGCTTTTGATACCTTTGGTAGCCTTCAGTTTTTGGGACCAAGTGGTTCACACCAGCTGTACCCATATTGACATGGGATGGAAGTTTAACTGGCACCGATCTGTCTAGGCCTGACTTTTAAAGAGCCGGTTAGTGCTTCGCGGTGGATGCCGTTAGGAATTTGGGCTCCAGAATCATGGTTAGCACTGTTGCAGCCTCCGTTCTACATTATGCTTCTGACTTTAAGAAACGAGCTGTTTAAGAACACTATTAGAACATTAGCATTATTTGAACTCAAGAATTATTGAAATTAGTGAGTTCATTGCAAGGATATGAAGGGTTAGGTATTTTGATAACATGAAATATTTTATCAGGATATCTTCAGTTCTTCTTCAGTTCTTCCAGGTGCTCACCTCTGACTTGTATTATATTAAAACATGACAACAGAGTATTTTCTTGGAATATGTCTGGAAAAGTTGTAACAGAGGAATAAACACAGGCTGGATTGCATTTTGGTGATGTGTAACATAAGATACCTTTAATATTAAGACTAAAAAAAGTAGGTCATGCTAGCGGAATGTGACAGATTTTTCTGAGAAACTCAGGGATTTATTGGAGAGCACTGAGCTCAAACACCTTGCCCTGCATATCCAACAGCCACAGACGTATCAGCTGACCCAAAGCAGAGCTATTCCGCATGGATCTTTGTCAGCCAGTTTTCTTGCGTCCTTTGCTCCAAGGAAACCAGCCATGCCTGGCATTCCTCGCTTACTGCTTGCAGCTCCGAAAGCCTTTGAACCCCAGTTTTAAGGATGGCTTAGCTACCAGATCCACATCATGTAGCTTGGCAAACATTTGTCTGTCCTAAAAAGAGAAACCCTACCTGAAAACGCTGGGACAACTTCACTTGGAGCCATTGAGTATCATCCAGTTTTGTGCTGTCAGGAGTGTAAAGTCAGTAAGAGAAGATGGATGAGCCCCATGTTCATGGGGTTTATGTGCTTCATACATGAAGCTCGGAGCATCGCTCTTACATGCACATAAGACTTTTGTACAGTTTCAATATTTCCTAGTAGAAGGCTGATCAAATATTGCTTCCCCAGAACTGCTTTTCAAGTGTGCTTTCACGTACCTTTGATACCAACATTGGAAACATGCGTTGTACTATGCCCGTCATTCCGGACAACCTCCTGGTTCCAGCCCGGAACTGACAGAACTAGAGTTTTCACGTTACTGCTAAGCAGCAATGAATCCTTTCCTCACTTTCTTCAGCACAGATATGGTAGATCATCTTCTTTGCTTATCAACATTTTCTCCACGTCTTTTACCTCATTTTTTTTGTAAATTAAGCATTTAGAAAAGGGCTGACTTTATTTGAAACCTTCTCCAGCTTTGTACGCTTCCTACAGATCTAAATTTTGTGTACTTCTAATGTACTTCTAATGGTACTTTCCTATTTTATTTTTTATAACATACCATCATTTTCCAGAAAGAATGAGGAAAAAAGAAAAGCTCTAGAAAGTTAAATTTGCTTAGAAGCCAAAAGCGGTTCTTAGCTTTGCCCAAGAATCTGGAGTCTGGAAAGGGGAAGTCGACTTACCCACTTGCGGGGGGGATTCTTGGTTGTTTCTTTTGGGTGAGGTGGGTTTGTTTCTTTTTTTCCCCTTGCCAGGAAGAAAGACCTACAGGATTGAAAGTTCTTTGAGAGTCTCTTTGCTCTGTGCCTCTGATGCAGTGAGTGTGGCCTTATGTGAATAGCAGTAACTCATCATTAGCTAATAAAAAAACCCCAAAACACAACCTCACAATTAAAGGGGAACATCGGAATGTGCTGAGTAACTCTCACTCCAATTTTGCACAAGTGATAGTTTAAGGAAAAAATCACGGTACTTCATGAGCTGAAGGATGAGGCATTTTTGGAACCTGTTCAGTTTTAGTGGTCCATGTAACTTCCATGAGCTTCTTTCCAGCAGGACACTGCTGGAAAGAGAAGGGTTAAGCATGAGTTGTTTGACATACTTCAATTAATTGTTTGTCAAGTACTAAATTTACGGTTTTCTCACACTATTCGGAAAAATAGCTTCATTTACCACAGTGAAGTTTCAATATCTGCATTGGATAAACCGAATGCTTTGTTTGCCTGTGCCATATTGTAAGTGTTCTTCTGTCATAATGCAAACCGCACATGTATGTATATCTTTATTTGTTGGTTTGTTTACTGTTTTCACAGACACTTCCATTGGGGCTGGGAGACGGACAGCTCTTTACCTGGACTGATGGCTTGAAAAGGAAGGACTGGCATGATTATGAAAGCATTCAAAAAGATGCTATGCGTTCAGGTATATGTGACTTCAGAGCAAATTTCAGTGGTTCATTCATTCTTTCTCCATATGGTTATTTTTTTCTTTTAAGTCACCTAAAAAGCATTCCTAACAGCCTGGTTTTGACTGCAGCTTGTCACAGGGACATAATGTTCTGAACTGAGGGGTCAGACCAAGCACAAATACCTTATCTCTGAAATAGCCAAGTGAAAATAAAAGTAATGTGTTTCATGCTAATAGCTCTAGAATGATTGTACAAGGAAATAGGCAAAACTATTATTAACAAAATGTTTTTCAGCTTGAAATCAGTTTCTGTACTGTGGACAAATATAAGCAGAAGTGTTGGTTTCCAAAGGGACATATGTTACAAGTGAAACTGAGGTGTCCTTAAATCAGTGGGTAAAACCCGAGTCCAGTACCTGTAACTGTCAAGAATACCCAAGGTTATGTTAGAAAGAAACTTTGACCCTCTCACCATTGTCAAACTCCAATCCTTTAGTCTTGCTAAAGCTACTTCACTTCATTCTGACAGCCTAATATTATTTGAAAATGAGAGCAAATTGTATTTGCAGATATACTGGAGGACACTTTATTACAGTGAGTAATGTAATTTTAATGTACCTTCACGTGCTGTATGCCGTATGTGCAAAGAAAGGTTTGTGTTCCTCTTTCTGTCGTAAGAGCATGTTCAGATTTGAATCTTTCTTTTATAATATAATTTACAACTATTCAACATAAGATGAATTAAATTAAAAGGAAGGGAAACAGCAGTTGAATTGCACCTTAATCAGTGTCTGAAAGTCATTATTTTACAAAAGCCAATCTACTATTATGAAATAAATTATGCTGTCTTGAGCCCACTGTCAGAAGACAGCCAACACCTCCCCCCAAATACCTCTATAAGTGAATCCAGGTGACAGATTCGTAAGACTTGGTAAGTACTTAGTTTTACAGGGCCCTGAACCAGTAACATATTTCAAGCGTAGGTTAATTTTATAAGCCGTTTTTCCCTTTCTCTCTTGAATCTTTTTGATCACTAACTAAAAAAATTATCCTCTCTCACATGTGCTTAGGAGGAAAAAGGGTGGGGAGGGGGCTAAAGTTATTCTAAGCGTCTTAGGAGTTGTCAGATCAACGTTAATTGTGTTCCACATTGCTAAGTCTAAAATGACAAATACCTAAGAGGAACGTACGAAAGAGAAGCAGCATGTATATAAAAACAGGCGCGCATGGGGGGAACATCACATGTTGTCTGATTAGAATGGACTCTTTTCAGGGATGTGCACCGACTCTTTGGCAATGTGCTTTTCATTCCTAAATATGTAACGTGGGCCCCGTATGTTCTGGAAAATAAACAGGAATACTTACAATTATCTGATGGATAGCTGCGGCATTGCCAATGTAATGCAAGCCGTTGCACGGAGTCAGCTAAGAAATTAGCAAAACATGTTATGTAGCTTTTTCATTCCCAGTCCTACTCCGAACATTATAACTGCGGTGGAACGCCCTAGTATGTGAATATCTTTTCCAGTAAACTTCTATTCTTGGTAATAATAATAACAATCATAGAAATATACTGACTCATTTGTGTTTTTATTGGCTTCCTTGTGATAGTGTTTGCTGAGTTTGACACTTTAAGAAATCTTTTTTAATGATTTCTATATGCCATTATTATTTGTTTGATTAAAATCACTTTTAATGATTTCTTTTTCTTTGAAAATCACAATATAGCGATACATATGCAAAGCTAGAGAATCTCAGTGCACTCTTTTGGGGCATACTGTATAATTTCTGTCCCTAATAGCAAAACAAAATATAGCTGAGATCAACTTTTAGTTCAAAATCAATCCGAAGGCATGAAAACAACAGCAGTGAAAGGGCTTCTCGGGACATTTCAGAAAAGGGAGTCAATGCTCATTGCACAGAAAAGAAGGAGTAAAGTCTTTGTCTGAATGCAGTTTAGCTGTTTATCTGTAAAGCTTACAATTTCCTAAGCACTGAGAATGTGAATTTCATAAATCTAATTATGAAGATGTGCTAATTTCTCCATGGCTAATTCTTCTGTTTCGAGGCCAAATATTTTGATCCCCTTTTATTCCACCAAATTAAAACCAATGTTCCTGAATTTGAGTGGTCTCCACTCGTTGGAAATCATTCAGTTCTTTTAAAGCTAAAGAGGAAAGCCATTTGCAAGACATGCAGAAAAAATGGTACTATTTCTATTTATTTCAAGTGTTCTAGTTCATCTTTTTTGGCTCTAAAATCAGAAATGATCTTGCACATAAATGCTGAAGTAAACTCATGTTAGTTTTGCTTTTGTGGGGCTTTGTTGGACCACCTGAGGTGCAAATGTATGTTTATGGTGTTTCTGCCATTAGTTCACATTCTGGTAGCATGATCATGCTACTTGCGAAGGACTGAAGTGGGTAATGGAGCGGGAAGGCTTTACACGTGTAAGCTCCTGGCGTAGTTAGTATTCAAAGACTCTTGCAGGGACAGAGGCTTTGATAACTGATACTACTTTTTCAGCTTCTCACTTATATGGAATTGCTCATGGTGTAGATCCTTCCAAGGTTAGTTTTGTTTAGCAGGAATTATTTGCTGAAGTCCTTTTGAGTGGGAAACACCCTTGTGGGCTCCTGCCTGAGAAAACAAAGGATGGTCCAGATGCAGTGCCACCGCAGCTACTGCTTACTGCTGCTCTTCCATCAGCGCGGGTCTGAATCGGTCTGGTGTCCACTTGTGACACACATAGGTTTATTTAACGTTCTTTGATAGCTTAGAGTCCCACTCTGTCGGATATCAGTTTTACAGCAGAAGACACAGTAACTAATTGCTACACACGTGATCTAAAGACCTGTGATATATATTGCTGGTGGGTATTTCTTGGGATGAGGTGCTTACTTTTGGAAAATACCTATCTTGTGTGTTAAGCATAGGAGAAGCACGTCTGAAGCTGTTTCACGTAGTGAAGTCCAGGCAAGCCTTTTCAAATGTGTGTAAGATTACATCTAGACTTGGTTGTCAGATCGTCTTGTTTTAGTGCCCTTGTGGGTTGTTACTCTGTTCTCAACACAAAAGCAGTGTGCTCTTACTGGAGATCTATATGTGTGTGTATGTGTGTGTGTGTATTCTACTCCACTGCTAATGACGTTGCAGAAGGAAATAAGCTCCCCAAGGAAGTCCCCCAGTGTAAGATATCACAGGTGGTATGGCCTGTAATTAAGGCAGCGCTCTGGGAGTCTATAAATTTAAGTATAATTTCCAGTTTTCTCACAGATATTTCATTTTCTCTGTGACTTGCTTTCTTGGAAAGAGATGACACTTTCTGGCTCTGTTAAGTATGTTGTAGGATATTGTTTCTTACTGGTGGGGAACATGCAAAGTGGTCTTTGGAGTCATACTTCCCTAATGGCTAATTCGTCCAACAGCCATATTTTTCTGTACCCCAGTAAAAATCTGTAAATTAGCATGTGATGTGGGACTGCACTGCTGTCAGGTTTGCTTACCACAGCAAGATGCAGTGAGATACGCACAGGTTTCTCTGAGATATTGCCGTGATCTCACTGGTGTGGTTACACAGGTGCACAAAACAGCAATCAGCTCCTACGCCTGTGCCCAGCTGTGTCTTGTGTAACGGAATACCTGCTGTACAGCCACCACCGAAAGGAAGTTATCATCCGGTCTGCTTGGATTTTCCTCTCTAACTTCAAACCATGTGTCATTTTGATTTAGAAAAGAAAAAAGGACAAACAACCCAACTCTAGAATGAACAATTTGCATTTTCTGAAGTTAACTGGAGGCATAAATGGGCTAAAAGTTCCCCACTGGCAGATCTTCAGATACAGTTCCATCTCTCTGATTCCTTCATCTCCAGAAATGATGATGTAATACCCGCACGAATGGTTACGATTTAATAAAAGATTTCTTAGTAGTCAAATACAAGGTCAGTGAAACAGATAGTTCAGGCCATCCCAGATAGATCGTTTTCTTGCAAAGATGAAATGACTTGGGGATCTGTAGGTTGCTTGTGACGTATTTCTTGCCACAAATAAAAAGACTACAGTGGTCCTAGATAGATATGAAGTGGTCCTAGATAGATATGAAAATAGATTAATTTACATGATACTGATAGAAGTATTATTTAGTCAGTCGATGTAGATGGAATGCCCAACCTTTCATGTGGAATTACTGGATCCAGCTCTGGAGTCCCCAACATAAGAAGGACATGGACCTGCTGGAGCGTGTCCAGAGGAGAGCCACGAGGATGATCCGAGGGCTGGAGCACCTCTCCTATGAGGAGAGGCTGAGAGAGTTGGGGCTGTTCAGCCCAGAGAAGCGAAGGCTCCGGGGAGACCTGATGGCCGCCTTCCAGTACCTAAAGGGGGCCTACCGGAGAGCTGGGGAGGGACTTTTACTGGGGCATAGAGGGACAGGATGAGGGGGAATGGCTGTAAACTGGAAGAGGGCAGGTTTAGATTAAACATTAGGAAGAAGTTTTTCCCTGTGAGGGTGGTGAGGCACTGGCACCGGTTGCCCAGAGAGGTTGTTGAGGCCCCATCCCTGGAGGTGTTCAAGGCCAGGCTGGAGGTGGCCTTGGGCAACCTGGGCTGGTGGGAGGTGTCCCTGCCCAGGGCAGGGGGGTTGGAACCCGATGATCTTTAAGGTCCCTTCCAACCTAAACCATTCTATGGTAAGTTATGTATGGATCTTTGCTAAAAAGGAGCATTACGTTGAAAGCGTCATGATATTTAGTTTTCATGTTTTCCAATTAAGACATCACAATTTTTATTTCAAAATGATGCTTTATCTTGGAACTTGATTATTTGGAAATCCCCCAATTTTTATATTTTTTTTACTTTGTCTAGAAAATAGGAAATCAGTTATTCATGTGTTCCTGTTGCTTACCTTACATGTACAGAACTTCTGAAAGTCTCAGGGCAGCCAGGTGAGACACAGGAATGATATTGGTCCGGGTGACTGAGAGATGAATCTGTTATGCTTGAGAAGTTTCCCCA